GAAAATTGCAGTGCTTTTTCTGACCCACTCAGAATTCAGCTTATTGTCCAGTAGGGACAAAGTAGGGACTCACTCAGATGCTGTCTCTTTCCTTTTTAAAAGAATTAAAGATGTCACTTTTACCCCCAGATATGAATCCTGGTATTTTAAGACTTCATAAGTGGTCCAAACCTACAAGGTTTTGGTCTCTAATCACAATTAGAACTGTACCAAGAAAAAGATACCAATATTTTATTTTTAGTTAGTGGCAAAATCTATTTAACAATTTACAAATACGCCAGCAGAACTACTGAAGATTATATCCTGTCACTTATAAATGACATTAAACTTTGTAACAGTTTTGATTTTACTTCTTATTATGATAGCATGGTAACTAGCAGCTGAAATGGTAAAAAAGGTGTGTAGCTTGTTCATGAGGCCCCCTAAAAAGACCAGGATGGTCTACTGTGTATATTCGCCCAGTTTGTGTCCTTGGGACTGCTACACTAGATTGCCACTGGATTGCCTAATGCCAACAGCCGGGTTGTCACTTAGCTGTTGAGAATGAAATTCAGGATGACAACCTTTAAACATGTTTAAGAGATTTAGGGGGTCTACGTTCTCTTTTCAAAAATTGCTTACTGAGAGTCAATGAGCTAATTACTGCCTGCCAAGGTAGTGTAAGAACCTGCACCACATCTCTTCTCCCTGGTGCCAGTTAATGCACAAAGGGATCCCAGGGTTGGTGCCCTGGGAACTGCCTTCCCTTTCCAGCAACCTCACATCCATCAGGAGGTAAGTATACTTCTGTGATTAGTTGCACGGGAATAAATGGCTCTGCAGGTTTATACTCCAGCTTGCCCTCTAGTATGAACCATATGTCTACCCACACTTTCAGACTTGCATTTTGATTCTCAGACCTTTTACACAAGTTCTAAGACCCTGGTTGATTATCTGTAATTAAATGTGGTTTACTGGTTAAAGCTCAGGTGCCCTACAAAGTACATGGGAAGAGCTTCACATTTGGGAAGGTATATACAGCCACTGCTTTAACTAGCTGATGGACTATGCATACGCATCTCCTGGGTGGGGACGCGCCATAGGTGCAGCTGTTGTCTCTGTTCAGTGCTGTGTTACTAGAGACATGGAGACACCTCCCTCCAGCTGACATTGCTCTGGATCAGGTGCCTAAAAGCCATCTGTCAGACACCTGAAGGAAGGTCAATATTGCCTTTCAGAGCACCAGACCTCACCATTTAGAGCACGCATGGAAGGAGGGAGGCTTAGGTTCAGTTCCTTCATTGGCATTCAGGGCGTTTAAACATATCTTTCCAAAAGATTGTCCTGACCACTATGCACTGAAATTCCCTGAAGGCCAAGGAGACAGTGAAAGTTAAGGTCACCATGTGACAAGGAAGTAATCTGGCCAGGGGCCTCCGTGATGAAAACCACTGTTCTCCCACAGGCACACAAGAGACTGATTTATAGACCCTGATGGGGATCTGCTACCTAAGTCCCTTCAAGATTCATCCATTAGTAAAATTGACAAAAATGACCCAATAAGTGAGTGTCATTAGCTGCTCAGTACCCAGCTATGGGGCACTTCTGTTAATTACACTGTCTACCTGTCTACCTGCATCTTGCCACACATGGATGTCTCATGGGCTTCCATTTTTCTTAAACATGAGGATCAACATTTACAAGCTTTAGGCTGAAAAGGTTGTTTGGGAGGAAATGAAATGGAGAGGCCTGGAAAGTCAGGGAGCAGCGTCACATGTAACTGTGCAGTGGAACCAAAGTAAAAGAATTTACATACCAAACTGACAGAGACAAAACAATCCAAAATCCTGGAAAACAATCCATGTTGTAAGCACAGATTCAAATCTAGAAAAACTAAGTAATTTAATAAAAAACAAGGTAGTGGGCATTTTTCTCTCTTTATCCCTTAAATAACTGAAGAAGCACCATAATAAGGCTAAGACTCCCGGTAGAACTTACATCAGGGGCTATAAATTGGTGATGTGACAGCAGTAATACATTTTATTTCTCTGATTATCCTGGCAAAAGAATATTGGTCAGGTAATTAATTCACGTGCTGAACACTTGACCCAAATTTTTAGGGGTAATCCGCTTGGTAATCTTCTAAATACCTGCAGGCAGAAATTTGTAGCAGGGATTTCAATACTACTTCTTTAGTAGTTGGGCCATAAGCTGAAATGTTCTGGTCACACTAATCCTCATTAGCATTTTATACCGAGACTCACATAGACAGTGTGTGCGTTCCAGGTGAGCGCACTTGAAGCCCATTTTGCTAATGTATTTCTTCTTCACTCCCCTTAATATTCATTGCTATCATGCTGCCATTTTTATTTAACTCCAAGTTCTTTGCTTGTGCTATGTGCTTCTGTATCAAGACTACACACAGCAAGTGGGATTAATCTGCTCTGAACAAGGCATGTAAAAAGCTGGACATCTGGTTCTGGGCTAGGCCCCCTGCGAGTCCTCTATGGGGAGCAGAGAAACAATGGCATCTCCAAAGGATGATTCATCTCACTGGAAGAGTACCATGAGGTTGGCCTGATGATTCATCCCATGGAGATGCTTATTTTTTCTGCCGACTGCAAATAAAGCCCAGAATGGTCAGCTCAGAGTTGGACATCTGACCTAGATCATGACAGAGGAATGCCACATGGTATTTTAAAAATACTGTAATGCTTATGACAAATGGCCACACAGCTGCAGCATTACACTAGACTTTTGGATCCTTACTGCAGAACAGCAAGTGTGGTTTTTTGCCACTCTGCTGAATTTAATAGACCACATGCACCTATTTTGGTCATCTAATAGTTTCAAATTCTTCTTCATAAAGCAGGTGACATATTGTAACTGATTAAAAAGGGCTGTGGGAAAACAATGGAAAAGGACACATGAAAAACATTCCTCAGATCAACTCAAACACACAAAAATTCTTGAAAAAGGGAAGCTCATTTCACAGTCTCCATGTTTAACAATCTTAGGCATATACACATGTAAAGCAAAAACATCATCCATCTGTTTGTAGAAAGTTTGCAGAGAATTTTAATAAGACCTATAAATGCTAATAATGGCCAATGTTTATGATGTTTATAAAATAACTAATGTCGAGCATCTGGAAAGCTTATAAAATTTGTTCTTATAAAGTCTACAAAGTGTAACACCTTTTCCTGAGTCTGTTTTGTTTTTGCTGACCTTGTTCTCCTAGGCCAGATCTGCCAGAAACTCTCTTCTTCCAGGCATTTCTGTGACTGTGGCACCCTGAAACTCATGGTTTGAAGCCAGACCTATTTCTGGTTTTGTAAGTTCAGCATTCATAACATTACAGAAACAAAGCAGACAGCTGAAAGTGCAAGTTTCCACCTGAAACTACAGGGATCTCTATTTCCAAGTGACAGATGTTCTACAACAGTTGGTGACAAACAGGCTAATTTAGACTGATTTAACTAAAGCTCAGCCTGCTGACAATGGGGGATTTTTTTTTAAATGCAGCTGAAGAAGGCATTTCCGAATGCTAGGGATGGCTGTGCACACAGAGCTACAGAGGCCCTGTTGTGAACTGAACAGCACGGCCACATGTGGTGCCTGTCTCTGCTCCTCACACTCCCTTTTAGATGCTGAGCTGGAAGATGACGTTGCCTAGCCAATTACCAAGGGAATTAGCTGCTATTTAAATTTACTCACTGAACATATATCCTCAGAAATCAAATTACTTTGGCCCAGATTCTTTCTTCTTAAGTTCAGGCACCTAAACTCTAAAATTAGAAGGACATGTGCCCTAGGAGTGAATTGATCTTCTGAGGTGCTGAGCTCTCCATCACATGGAAGGTTCCAGAGGCTGCTCTCCTAACTCAGGCAAGTCCATCTAAGCTTCTGCCTTCAGCCTTAACTTCCAAAGGTCCCGTTAAGGTTGGTTTGGTTTTTTTTTTTCACATGTAAAGATTAGGGGTGTGATTCAGAAATTGCAATGCAACAACTGCATCGTCGTCCTACTTTTGGTAAATTGTTTTGGTTTTTGTTTTTAACTTGCATATGAGAGCTGGGTCCAGGCTCCATCCTTCTGAGTATCATAAAGCCTCTCATGAGCAGCTATGAGTAGACATGTTAAAAAACCAGCAACAATTAAATAAGTTTTCTTTCTTTTTTCTCTTCTCTTCTCTTCTCTTCTCTTCTCTTCTCTTCTCTCCTCTCCTCTCCTCTCCTCTCCTCTCCTCTCCTCTCCTCTATTCTCCTCTCCTCTCCTCTCCCGTCCCCTTCTATTGTCTCCTTTCCCCTCCCCTTCTCTCCTCTCTTCTCCTCTTCCCTTTGAAGAACACTTCTAGGCAAGTATCCGGATTATTGTTTTATGAGGGAACCTCATTAAGGTAGTTTCATTGATTATATTTCTGCACTAAGGAAATAGCTGCCAGCACTAAATATTTCAGGCAGCTTTTCTGCCAAATTAATACTGGCATTGTATCAGACAAGCAGTCTTGATGCCAGCAGCAGTATAGCATATTCTTCTATTGTGGGGGTGGCCTGTATACTGTGAATATACTTCCATAACTTGCTGAATCCTACTTCCTTTTACCTAAACCCAGGCTAAAAATGTAACCTAATTGTCCTCTGTTCTGTAATTGGCCTAGTTAACTAGCTGCAATGGACAGGCTACATATCACTTCTGTCCAGAAAAGCACGAACTTTGCTCAGAACAGGGAGGCTTCTGTCTGGTCCGTTCCTGAAGCGTTATGTCTATGCAACAGTAGACATTACGCATAGAGCATGTCTTTGTCTATTAATAAAAAAACTACTGAAACTTTGCTCACCTTGAGAAATAAGCTCTTAGGAATGGTCCTTGTTCCTCCAAATTGCCATAGGGTACGGAATAGGATATGAAGTAGAATATGACTGCATTGCGACTACTTACCCCCAAACAAACAAAATGATAAAAAAACCACTACCACCACCACCATCACTACAACAACACTGGACAAAAAAGAGTTACTTACATTGAGTGAGGATCCCTGTTAAGGCATTTTTGAAACTCTCCTTGGCTTGCTCCATTTCCTGCTCATGAGCGGCCTTTTCGTTCATGAGCCGGCGGACGTGGCTATTGGCCGACTGCACCATGGAATAAAACTGGTTTGCTGAGCGACGATTCACCTCGCCTCGCTCAATCCAGGTAAGCAGCACTGTGATGGCCTCTGAAAACTTGCTATCATCTAAAAAGATCAAAGCACAGGTTTTAAATTGCAGGCATAAATATCCTGCTGAGAACACATTTTCTGCTCCATGTCACATTAAAATCACCATAAATCCTGTTTGCAATATATCATTTTGGGCAACTTCTAGTTCTTTGTTTTATCGGATGTTGGAAGCCAATACTGCCACATGAAGCTACATAAATCTTCCTTCAAGACTTGTCTTCTGCTGATTTTAATAGCTTTCTCACACCAAAGGGCACCCTTCCCTTCCCTGAGACCCGAGTCCTTCCTTTCACAACATCTCGCTTAAGCCGTTCAGTGATATGAAATGACCTTACAGTGGGAGTGAGGAGACCTCTGTGTCACTTGACCCACTGAGGAAATGAAATGTGTCCACGTTAATCTGCTCAGCCAAAAGCTCAGTCTTGGAGCTTGGGCTCAGCTGTACTTTTGTCAACAGATTTCACTAACATCACATTCTTAATTAACGAACAATGACGAGGCTGAACAATTCCTCCTCAAAGCACTGATTAATTACAAGGAACCGCTTTGAACAGATGATGTGTCTGTACTTGTTTTGTATTTTGCATTTGTCTGTGTTTTCTTCTACATATTTTTTAAAGGAGCCCAGATGAATTCAGGCAAACACCTGGATTTATGTTTACCATTCAGGTAATTAAAATTCTATCTCTCTGCAGAAAGATCGTCAAAACTGGTGGCTAGATTTTGTGCACTCCTTCTCCAAGTAATCTTTTTTCCTCTGACAGTGCTTCCAGCTTCCCCATAAGACTCTTAGCACAGCCTCCATTACACTTCTGTCTTCATCAGGATTAAGGGGACACATTTCTTTTTAAGTCCCATCTAGGCTGAACTGCAATAAAATGTTGTTACGACACAGTGTCTTCCTGTGGAACCATTTCTGTGCAATTCGATCTCTTTTTTTTCCCTAGAATTTTATTCCATAAAACTTCCATTTCCCAACAAATCGTTTTAAACATCTCATCTAGTCCTTGTTGGTTAGATTTCTTTATATATATATTTTAGATGGTAGGTATACCTTTCTATAGGAGAAGGTATACAGTTATGATGGGGATAAGTAGTATATTTTAGTAGTATATTAGAAAAAATTTCTTCACTGAAAGAGTGATCAGGCATTGGAACAGGCTGCCCGGGGAAGTGGTGGAGTCACCATCCCTGGAGGTGTTCAAGAAATGTGTAGATATATATGGTGCTTAGGGACATGGTTTAGTGAGTTAGGTGGTGTTGGGTTGACAGTTGGACTTGATCCTTGAGGTCTTTTCCAACCTTAATGATTCTATGACTCTATGATTCGATGATTTTTAACCAAAAGACATTTAAAATGAAAATTGGAAAATATAAAACCCAACCAACTGTGTTACAGAACACAGAAATGTGGGACATAGTTTGTAAGACTTTGATTTCAATGTACAAAGAATAATGAAATACTAATTCTTAAGTGACGATTCGGACTTTTATTCTAAATGAGCAATCACTTCCCTAAAAGGTGAGGAGCCCAAAGTACAAAGAGGGCAAGTGACGTGATCTGTGCCCACAACCTGTGAAGAGTAGATTTTATATTGCCTGATATTTAGCATCTTATTAACTGAAACGTGCTTTCAGCTACAGCAATAGGATTTCATCGCCACAGATGGATAGGCATGTTCACCCAAGATCCCTGAAAAAATTTGCAAAATAAGAGCATCCTAACACCCTCCCTTTGTACAATGATGTATCTGTTGTGACTTTACTTTAACATACGATTCTGCCTCATCATTCATTAAATAATTGTCTCTGGGAAGGAAGAGTCAGATGGGCATCTTTTCTTTGCATATTGCTCTGTTGGATTAGACTCTACGTCCTAGATTTGCTGGATACATACAGGGCATGTATCTATTAAGTGGCTCTAACAAGTGAAGGTGGCTGAGTATGGGCCTCAGGAAAGCCAAATGTAAACAAAACTCATGCAAAGCATCTTCATTGCAAGAAAACACTAGGATAAGGTGTTCCATGCTTGGGTAAAATCTTCAGCCTGCTGAAATACATGGGAGCCGAATGTCATGGATCCAGTACAGCCAAGAACTCATCCCTGGAACATAATGTTTATTATAATTACAGTAGTCAATAAGAATAACCTGCAATGGTTTCTGGCAATGTAAGCATGCAATTTCCAAGTCTGTACAGTCAGGTCACCCTGTGGATGGCACGAGCCTGTTAACACCAAGGATGTGGCTGATTGTGAGCAGAGAGTAACAATAGCTGAATGCTCCTCTTTTTCCCTTGTAGACATCATTATCTAGATGATCACACATAATTTTTCACCCAGCACTGAAGTCCCATTTCAAGTAAATTATCCCATTCAATCTAGGTCAAGACACAAACAGCAAAGTTGGGAGAAATGATACACAGAAGCATCTCTGAAGAGGTCCACCTTGACCTGTGAAGAAACAGTGTGCAGAACTAAGCAAAAATGTTTCATGTATTTCCATGAGGAAAATCAGTTGCACAGAACCATTATCCCTTTTTCTTCCTTAATATTTCCCCAGTACAGAGATGTATGTTATTTTGCTATAGAGTCTCTATGAAATGAAAACATCTCTCTCTTTTTTTCTTTTTCTTTTTCTTTTTCTTTTTCTTTTTCTTTTTTTTTTTTTTTTTTTTTTTTTTTTTTTCTGTATTTTTACTAAGGAAAGTTGAACCGGGAGCCAAACTGTTTTTTTTTTTTTTTTTTTTTTTTTTTTTTTATCAGGCACTGTTGCTGTCTGTGAGGGAAGTTCACAAACATGCTGTCCTTCTGCCACATAGATTCAAACCATTTAAAAGGACATGCTGAAAACCTATTTTCAATGCACTATACTGCCGGGGAACTGGAGAGGTCTGTAGGCCTGTTATAGATAATTCTTGGTTCCGTACTAGCAGGAAAAAATCCTTTCATTTGTAAACATCAGCATCTTCATTGGTTATGTAATTAGAAGATAAATTTAAAAATGCTAGAGGGTAATATATGCACAACAGGAGCACATTAGTAAATAAAATCTTTTCTCTGTAGTTTTAAAATTTCCTTATTTCACCTTAATTTCTAACTTTTCTGTTCTTGAGCTGAATACTCAGTAATTGGCATAAGGTAACTCACCATGAATTAATTTTCTTTATCTAGAATGCAGTGACCCTTTCTGAACAATCAGGAAGTTCACGTAGAAAATCAGATTTTTATACCAGATTGTTGGGTTTTTTTTTATTATTTAATAGATAGATAGTAGAAGATATGCATCAATGGAATCTAATATAAGCAGAGCATGAACTGCCTTATGATTTTGGTGCTTTGGGTGCTGGTTGACAGCTGGCCGAACATGAGCCGGCAGTGTGCCCAGGTGGCCAAGAAGGCCAACAGCATCCTGGCCTGCATCAGAAATAGTGTGGCCAGCAGGACTAGGGAAGTGATTGTGCCCCTGTACTCGGCACTGGTGAGGCTGCACCTTGAATCCTGTGTTCAGCTTTGGGCCCCTCACCACAAGAAGGACATTGAGGTGCTGGAGCAGGTCCAGAGAAGGGCAACGAAGCTGGGGAAGGGTCTGGAGCACAGGTCTTATGAGGAGCAGCTGAGGGAGCTGGGGTTGTTCAGTCTAGAGAAGAGGAGGCTGAGAGGAGACCTTATCACTCTCTACAGCTACCTGAAAGGAGGTTGTAGTGAGGTGGGTGCTGGCCTCTTCTCTAAAGTAACAAGTGATAGGACAAGAGGAAACGGCCTCAAGTTGCACCAGGGGAGGTTTAGGCTGGATATTAGGAAAAATTTCTTCACTGAGTGAGCAGGCATTGGAACAGGCTGCCCAGGGAAGTGGTGGAGTCACCATCCCTGGAGGTGTTCAAGAAACGTGTAGATGTGGTGCTTAGGGACATGGTTTAGTGAGTTAGGTGGTGTGGGCTGATGGTTGGACTTGATGATCCTTGAGGTCTTTTCCAACCTTAATGATTCTATGATTCCATGATTGCAGCCATTCATTAAAAAAATAAAACAAAAGTCCTAAATCTGTTCAAAATTATTCCCTTGCAGTAGGATGCACATAAATATACACTGTTTAAAAACATACACTTAAAATAAATTCCTTTGTATAAGACATCCTCCCATATGTAATTGTTCTTTTAAAATGAGCATGCAACAAATTTCTCACACTTCAAGATTTTTCTCCTCCAAGTTATAGCATGTTTTAAGCAGATCAGGTAGGATTCATCGCCTTTATGTCAACATTTAGTAACTTCAGGGTCCTGGTACAGTCCATGGAAAAAAGATGGACGCTTGTCAGACAGGCTTCACCAGTCCTGTTTTAGGTGTCTATTTGAGCATGAGGTGAACTGTGCCCCAGAAGTGGCTGCTTCCCTCAACCAGCTGTAAAGGCAGCCTGGGGTGACCTGCTCATATGTAGACATCTCTGCAACAAACATCTACATTTAGTCAGAGTAATCTCAACCATTGCACCAGTGCACCAGTTACAGAACACCAGCTCAGCATTTGTGTACCTGTGTTGGGTTTTCAGTTATACTGCAATCTGTGATGTACACTATGTGGCTTTAATATTACCCATCTGTTGAGGATGGCTTGCCGGGTTTCTGTTGACAGAGATTTCCAGGTGCTGCTAGTAGACTCAATCACAGGCCTCTAGAGATAAGATATTTCAAATTCCTCTTATATCAACTGAAGATATTTGGCACTTAAATCCGAGCTCACAACTTAGATGAAATGAAATGTAAAGAAAAGAAAATGCATCCCTAGAGCTGTATAGGAAATTGTCAACAGGGATATTTCTATGAAAAAAAAGGAATAATTGTTGACAAATGTTTTGCATTCTTCTGCTTGTAATTTGACCACCTCTAAGCAACCCCAACTGGCATAGACTTTTTAACAAAAAAAGCTATGACAAGAACTGCTACAAAACGGTATACTGGGAAAGAAGTGTTGGAAACAGAGATTTTACTCTCAGTTTACAAAGTTTCCCTGGTGTAACACAGAGCAGAATTCAGCTCAGAATAATCTAAAGTGTTGTGACTATTTATCTCACAATGTTAAGCACTTCCATAAGGTGCTTTCACAACTTGGGTGACGGTTTCTAAGGTTTTAACCATTAGAAAGGAGATAGACTAATCCATCACTCTGAAGCCAGGCATTCAAACACTCTATTACTATCATTTTTACCTTTATAGATATATTTCAGATATAGCTTACTTTATATTTCTGTATTTAGAGAGTGACATTGTATGCTGGACTTCTAGCTAGGATAAGATCAAATATTGGGCTACAGTTGCTTTTAGCTTTGTCAGTATCTTCCCAACCTTGAGCTTTCTCAAATGTTTGAGAACTATCTGAGATAATTCACACAACACTTGGAGCCTGTCTAAGTCACGGCAATCCTTCTATGTTGTCCTATGGGCCATGA